TTTTTTTTTTTTTTTTTTTTTTTTTTTTTTAATAAAATTTTCTGAAAAAGTTTTTAAGTCTGTGTAAAGGTGTAGATCTCTGCTTTTGATGCAAATACTAGCAGTGTTACTATTTGTACACTTATGTTCATCCTTTCAAAATCTGTACTCTCCAGTTATTCATGTATGCTTAAACACTATCACTTCCATTTTCTAATTTCTGACCTTAATTACCAACATTATGTCGTGTTATTTCTTTGCCCTACACCTTAAAAGGGTTACAGAAATCTCAATAATCTTGTTCAAATCTTGTTATCAGATTCCAAGTTCTTATTTTTATGAATCCCCTTTCATAAAATTCTCGTGTTTAGTTGAGGGATGGCACAAAGAACCCTTTTTTTAAGGCTCTGCTGGGTTTACATGAATACTGAGTTTTAGTGTCATCAAGAATTTTATTGTCTCTCTGTCATTAGTGTCTGTGGTGTGAAACAACTTAAGAAAAATGGATTAAAATACAGAAATTACGATGTGGTAGGAGGCCAATTCTTGGCATTGTTTGTTACGTTTAACGAAGACAACTTTTGCAGTTGGTTTCTGATGATTAGACAGAACACAAAAACAAAATTAAGTATTGCTTCATGTTGTTGTCCGATGAGTTTTAACAATCCTCGTATTTTGAGGTTATTTTGTTGTGTCCACTCAAATTACCTCAATACATGTTTTCCGTTCTAATTAATTTAAATTGTGGAGTAAAAAATTGATATTTTCCATATTTCTCTATCTAATATTCTTTTGAAATATGTAACAACTGAATGACTTGTTGTAAATCAACAATGGACTGAAACCAAAAACCCAATGCCCGAGGAAAAATATTGAAAATCGGAGTTGAAGGGGATCAATGAGTGTCGAAATTGAGAGGAGGATTTGAATGAACGGTAGAGCCGAAAAAGTGAGAATGGCTAGAAAAATGATAGTTGAGTGCATTGAATCGCGTAATTCTTAGTCATCGAGTTAGAGTTCGCACGGTTTCATTGTTGAGTTGAAGAACGTATCAAACTTCACCGGTTGACTTCTTTTCTTTAATGTTGTCGTTCATCATTAACTCAAACGAAAATATGACATGTTGAATTCGAAAATGTAAACATATAGGACACCAATAAAATCGAGTATAAGTTGAGAATAAGAGGAGAGTTTGGGGTATTTCACTTTAAGAAAAACACTAGATTCTTAAAAACACACGATTCACCACTGAAACAAAAAGGGAGATTGGGCATTTAGAAAATGAAAAAAGGAAAGAAAGAATATGAGTATTGGTAGATGCTCCTAATGTTCTTTAAAAAGAAGAATGAGGTGAAGACGTCAAGATTTGGCAAGCAAAGAGGGGCAGCCATTGGGCACACCAATTTTCGTAAGTGCAGTGAGTGGGTCAATACTAAAAGCTTATGTGCCATTGCATGCCCTCCTACTCATCCCATCCCTAACGTACACTTCCAATTAAAACCTCAAAACCATTACGCCTTTCCCACAAAATACATTATTTTCTCCAAAGCCTTCTTTAAATTAATTTAAAGAAAATTCATTTTCCATATTTATAAACAGCTAGCTCTACAAATTGGACCCGTAAAGACGTTGACATGACAACGGTCTCGTACGGAGCGGTCCCAGATTAGGACCTCATCGGTCCGCGGGTAATGACCGCACTGTCACTGTAGCCGACACCCCTCACAGCTCCGCACGTGGCCTGCACTTTCCGCTATTCACAGGCGGCTCCACGATCTTTTTTTTTTTTTTCTTTTTTTGTATTTAAAGCGACGTGTAAATCTTAAACCAAACTTTGCTCCTAAATCCTTCCAATCCACCGTAGGATACATTATTTTGTACTGTACTAGGTTTGATGTCTTCCATTGATTCCGCGTCTATTGCGTCTTTATTATGGTAATGGTGCACACACTTTTGGGCCTTCAACTCGGCCCAAATTGCATTGTTTCTTATGGGCTTCTTTGCTTAATCTCTGTTTCGCATGGGCTTACTACCTTCACCGATTTCAAACTTTTATAAATATATAAAATTTTAATTTTGTGTGAACCATAAAAAAAAAAAAACTATAGATTAGTTTATAATTTTGAAAGTTTCAGTACCAAATTTGTAATTTAATTTTTAAAAATTGGTATATTTTTATTTTACATCAAAATTAATAATTCTTTTCTTAACTCTACAGTTACACGATGAGAGATTAAACTATCGACATTTGAAATAATAATTAATATTTTATTTATCAAATTTTACTTAAATTAGCTTACAATTTAGTAATATAATGGAGCAATAACCAGTCAAGATGCTCGTGACATTGAATTCTTTTTAAGATTCAAACTTTTAATGTCGTGGTCAAGAATATATTATTTAATCAATAAAATTATGTTCACCAATTTGAGCATAGCTCAGCTGGTTATTGTATATATTATCAACTAAGACGTTTGAGGTTCAAATCTCATGTATCTCATACGAGTTAATAATCAGTTGAGTTATGCTTAAATTGATATTTTTATTTTCTGTTTTCATATTTATTTAGAAGTGAATATTTAAAATATTATTATTATTTTCATTAAATACCTAATACATTTTCTTTTGGAACATCACAAACAAGCTTAATGAATAACCTTAGTGAAGTAATCACATATTTGTTATTAATGTTATAAAATATATGAAATGAGAGGAACATTAGATTCTTGATTTCAAGAGTGATAAATCCACCGACAGAGGTGAGCTGTAATTGTAAAGCAACGGAAATTGGCGTCGTTGTCTTCTCCATTTTACTAAAATGTGAAGCCAAAACCAGAGATGAAATAAAATCCGTTTTTGTTTCTTGTCTGTCTCTCTTTGATTTCTGAATTCAGTTCGCTAATGGGGTCTCTTCCTCCGGCTGAGGATATTTCCCTTTCCTCATACCAATGGCCCCCAAAATCCCCAAATCCAAATCCAGATCTGAGCCCTATCGACGAATCTACACTCCTCGATCTCTTCAAATCCCAACAAAATCACCTCAATTTCTTCTTCCACAATCTCGATCTCTCTCAGACTCTGAAATTCACCGTTACCCTTCTCAACGCCCCCGGAACCATCTTCTTCTCCGGCGTCGGCAAGTCTGGTTTCGTCGCTCGTAAGATCTCACAAACCCTAGTTTCCCTTGGAATCCGATCCGCTTTTCTTTCCCCTCTCGACGCGCTTCATGGGGATATCGGCATCTTGAATTCCGGCGATGTTCTTGTGCTCTTTAGCAAGTCTGGCAACACCGAAGAGCTTCTTCGCCTGGTTCCTTGCGCTAGGGCGAAAGGTGCGTACCTCATCGCCGTCACCTCTGTTGAAGCCAATGTGCTTGCTGGGGTTTGTGATATGAATGTGCATTTGCCTCTCGAGCGTGAATTATGCCCTTTTGACCTGGCCCCGGTCACCTCCACTGCGATTCAGATGGTTTTTGGTGATACTGTGGCGATTGCGCTTATGGGTGCGCGCAATTTGACCAAAGAGGAATATGCCACTAATCACCCCGCTGGGAGGATCGGCAAAAGCCTCATTTTCAAGGCACTTCTCCTTTTTCTTCACTTAATTGATGTTCAGCTGGTTTCGATTTGTCTACATAGCTCTGTTTTTGAACTCCCGACTTAATTTTATCACCAATTTTCAATTATCTTAATGCAACAATAAGTTGTTTAAGACAAGTACGGATGTTGTTTTGGTTGCAGGTTAAAGACGTGATGAAGAAACAGAGTGAGCTTCCTGTGTGCAAAGAAGGAGATCTAATAATGGATCAATTGGTGGAGCTTACGAGCAAAGGATGCGGCTGCCTACTTGTCATAGATGAGGAATATCACCTGATTGGGACATTTACCGACGGTGATTTGAGGCGCACTCTCAAAGCTAGTGGTGAAGGCATCTTCAAGCTCACTGTGGGCCAAATGTGCAACAGGTACGAATCTCTAATACTCACTCATTTTAGTTGATATCATGACATACAAGGTCTTGCTATTTGCCAAACTTGTACCATCTGGATTCAAACTTTAACAACCGATGCAGAGGATGCCATTCTTTATGTTGATACCCAATAGTTTAGAGATTGATTTTGATGGTAAACCATATGACAGGAAACCGAGAACAATTGATCCTGAGGCGATGGCGGTCGATGCCATGAAAAAGATGGAAGCTCCTCCATCTCCTGTTCAATTTCTGCCTGTTATCAATCTTCAAAATATGTTGATTGGCATTGTCACATTACATGGCCTAGTTTCTTCAGGACTGTGATGCCACATTTCTTTATTGTTCAATTCTTTGTATTACTGTTCAACATTGATACTGCAATCGAAGTGTATAAGAAAACTTGATATTATGTAGCCCGAGTCCTCTTATATTCTTAAGCCCTGGTAGAGCCTGGTTCCACGTGTCCCGTGCCAATGAAGTGCGTGCACGACTCGAGTAGGAAGGGCTTGAAACGTGTATTCTTTTTAACTAAATCTTTGAACTGGTTGAGTGTGTTTCTTTTACGACCTAAATTCCCATCTGCCCTTTGGGAAAAACTACTACCAAATCTAGTAAAAGGAAAAGGGTATAAGCGATTCTCGCTTCATCATCCAATGCTTTGGGGATCATAGTTCTTCTTCGTAAGCACAAATACTGAATGTCCCGACTCTATATTGTGGTATCAAAAATCACGAGTCTATTACATCCACAGTAATGCGGCTAACTAAATTTCTTTATTACAAGTTTAACTAATTTTGTGTACAACAAGAACAAAGATTTAAAGGAAAAAATGAAATCCAAGTGTGTCCCTAAGCACACAACAATGCCCCAAACACTCTCCTAAATCCAAACACCAAACCATATACAAACTATATATGAACAAACAACCCATTGAGATGTGCAGTAGCAGATAGATACGAGTTCAGAGGAAAACCAGGCTGCTTTCGACGTCGAAGGCCATTTGATCCAAGTTCGAAATGGCGCCATCTTGAAACGTATGTTCTTCCAAATCCATGTCCCACAAAACCCCATAATCAGAGTCATTTTTGGGGCAAAAAAGTTGATCAGCTTTGGGATTATTATTATTGTCATCTTTTTCTTGAGGAAGTTGAAGGAGATGGAGAAAAGAACAGCTGCCAATGTAGCCATGACTCTGATGGGGAGCCATTGAGGATAATGAAGCGATATCGACATTGTAGCCACAAGGCATGGCGATCGGACTCGGGTCGCTTGGAGGGGGAGATGGAGCTCGGATGACAGTGGGAACGCACTCGAAATCTTCAAATGTAAAATGTTGGTTGAGTTTGATGCTGTGCTCTTCTTGCTTGCCCTTTTGAAACACTCTACATAAAACCCAGTCCTCCTGCACCCACCATATAAACTTGGTTCATTTTCATGTTAATTAAAGCATAGAGAGAATTCCAAATTAGTTCCATTTTTTGTTGTGTGATTACTATAAATATCTTTCATAATTATTTTGATTATGAATTCTCTTTCACTAAACAAACAAAACTCATTCATTAATAGCATCCTCTAATTCTAAATAAAAACAAAATATAGATATAAACATCTGTTTATTATCTGTTAATGCAATTTTAGAAAAGATTTGAAAACCAAAGAGAAAGCCACCAACTTTTGAATGTGTGCATGTGCTCACACCATCAGATTTGTCTAAATGGTCTAAGAAATAGAGAATCAAAGATGAAAAATTCAACCTTTGGGGGCAGATGTGGGGCCTCAAACCGAAATTCATGCATAATCCATCCCGTTTTAATCCCATTTGGAGCTCTGTTCCTATAAAACACCAAAGTCTTTCTCATCCCTACGATCTCCCTGGTTGAAGGATCCACCACCGTTCGATCTTTTCCAGTAGCTTTCCAATACCCACATGTCGTAGCGCGATTCGTCCGAAATCCCGTTGCGTATTTTCGATCTCGAAAGCTGAAAAAGTACCACTCGTTGCTATTCAGCTTCGCCACCTCTGCAATATAATAAAAAAGAATGATTAGTTTATATTAATCTTTCATTTTCATTACACTAATTATGAACAGTTTATGGAAGAGATAGGAAGGGGAAGGGAAAATGACCCCTTTGATTATATATTATTCATTGCTGGATTATTGGGTGTTAATTAATCAATGTCTCAAACTCAAAGAAAGGTTTGAAGATATTTTTGTTATGATTAATTATGTAATTATATTATATTAGTTGGTGATTATAAACAACAAAATAAGATAATTTGGATTAGAGAGGGAAATGCATGAAACAAAAAACATGAAATTTGATGAATGAAAGATTTGATATATATATATTATGTCCCAAACGAAGAAATTAAAAGGAAGCAAAATGGAGACAGAGAAGATAAAGAAATGAAATGATTGGGGTTTTGGAGAATATTTGCAAGTTGGAGAGTAACAATTAATGAAGCTTGTTCTACAAGCACAAGCTAGCTCAAGCATCCATCTATGGGAAAAAGGATGCATCCATCTATGGGAAAAAGGATGCTATGACTCATCACCTTCACTTATCCGACCAAATTTCTCGATATTGATCTCGAAAATATTCAAACCCGCTTTGATATAGCTCAATGCTTAAAATAATTCTACGTCAAAACATGGAAATTTCTTCACTCATTCTTAATAGCAAACGCTAAAGTCAAGATTTTCACATGAATGCAGGTGTATACGAGTGAGGAGACTTGAATATTTAATGTAAAAAATAAAAGAGAGCACTGTCAAATCCTCGTACCTTAGGGACCGAACAAATAATTAAGGAAATTTCATGAAATTAATGTTGTTTTATCACAAAATAAAAGACATTAGAACATAGCACCAAACACAGATTTCTGTAACATAAACCCCACTTCATAAGACAGAAGTTTCATGTTTTCTGTTTCAAGTTTACACAAAAATTTAACCAAGAAAAAAAAAAAAAAAAAAAAAAAAAAA